ATATATAATTTATGAGAGTAGAATTAAAAATTAAAACTAGGTATTAGATTTTATAATATAATATGTATTATGTATTAACATTAGAGACTGAAATAATATTTTCTAAAAATGTAATTTACATAAAGTTTTAGTTTGGTTAAAAATAAGTGATATCAAATTTTTTTAATATTCTTTTAAAACATAAGACATAAGTTTTTAATGCACAAACACTATTTAAAATAAATTTTCTTTTAACTCTTGTTTTTGTTTAGTGATAAATTATGTGTTGGCTAATAAATATAGTTATGAATAAGAACTAAGTGTTTTCTTATAAATGTAGTGTTTTATATACTTTCCATTATGCTATACTTGATGAGTACATAAAAAAGTTGTGTTAATTTAAAAATTTTAAACTCTAGAATCGCTAACACAGATCAATGTATAATATGTTTATAGAACCTAATTTGTTAATATACTTCACCATTTTGTAATTTTATTTTAACTCTTTAATAAGTCGTTGACACTTGAGTGCTGTTTGTTTAAAACTATAATTAAAGCTAAATAAAAAATATTTTTTATATTCTAGAAAATATTATTTGTAAAACAGAAATCGCAAATAATTTTAAAATAAATTTTTCTCTTTTATTCAGTTTGGAATCTAAAATGCAACTGTAAGTAAATTCTGCATTCATATAAATGAATAAAAAAATTATTTAAAAATTCAAATCAAAAATACCATTCTACCGCCAGATTACAACAAAAATGTTTATGATATCATGATAAAATATATTTCAACGACAGTTTTTGTTTGCTCAACACGCACAGATAAGATTTTTAATATACTTGAAAATAGTATAATAGAAATATAAAAACTATAGATATTTTTATTCTAGGTTACCTAACCTTTAAAAAAAATAAACTTCAATAATTGTTTGCGATAAATATGCGCACTAAAATGTTTGTACGTCGTTGATACTGAAAAATGAACGCACGTCTCACATTTTTATAGTAATAAACTGGATACATTTTCAGTAGACGAGAATTTCGATTATAGGCTAAGGTACATTAAATATATTTAATATCAATTAATCATAATATTTTAGAGATGTTCGTAGTTTTTGATTTTCAGTCACTTTTCATAGAACCGATAAGCTACGGTTATAAGTTGTAGTTAGTGGTTTTGTTTCAAAAGTTTTAAGTTGTACTACACGTCTATCTAACGTAAACTAAAACTTTAATATTCTGTTATTAAAAAATAATTTATTCACCTTTAATGCTAGTATTTAAGTGTTTTCGTCTACATTAGTGTGTTAAGGCAAACTTACGTTTACTTTTAGTGGAAACTATTGATTTCTTTAACAAAACATATAAAGGTCAAATAGGACATATGAATGGTAATTTACAGCTGCGTCTCGATAAACCTAACATCCATTTGTATTTTTATATATATATGATATTTCTGTTTTACATTCAAAACTATATTGTATCTACAATTATTGGATTAGATCCAGGATCACTGCATAGAAATATGAAAACTTTTGCAAAATCATTTCCATTTAATCAAAAAAGAGAAAATTAAAATTAGAACGAATAAAAAAATTTAAATAAACAATATTATTTTACGATAAAATATAATAATAATAAGTAATTTCGTTTAGTTAATAGATAACATGGATTAACGAACTTTATTAAAATATGTTCACTTAAATGTCACTACAACATCATTCGTCACCTATTAACAGTTATGTGTTTCAAAGCCAAAATGGCAATTGTTTTTCTACATTCCAAAATTAGATACACTTCGGATGATCTAAAAACGGTATAAAATCAATAATCAGATTTTTAGTCTCATCAAATAAAAGTTAGTCTAATTTTTTACAAAATCATCAATAATAAATAAATTAAAACATTTACGTAATTGGATTGATGATATTTTGACTTTTGAGTAAAATTGCTGTGTAAACACTACTCAGAATTTATTAATTATTAGTTTCAATGTTTTTTTGAAAATAATGAAATGTATTTGATAATATATAGTACTTTTATTATAAATACTAAAACTTTAAATAAAAATGAATTCTTCAAACATTAATTTATTATTTCAAATACAATAATTTATAAAATTAGGTATAATATGAGGTGTAAATATTGGGTAACACACTAGTTTCTGTAAAAAAAAATCGCTTTCGTGTTTTCGGGTTGTAAAATACATTCAATTCTATTATAATTTAAAACTAACGACATTTTTTCTTGTTAATGTTTTCTACGCTTAATTTCTCCAGAGAATTTATATTAAAATACAGAAAAATACGTGCTTGAAACCATTACAAAATGTATTAAAATACTGCTTATATTCTAATAAAATATAGTTTTATATGAATTATAAATAAACTGGGTTATTTTGAAATGATACAAATAAATATAATATTTCTTATATTCTCACTAAAGGTTAGAATACATGAATTTCGTATTTTTATTGTCGTGTTAGTACGATAAAATTTAGTATGTACTTAAAGATATAGGTACCTACGTCACGGTATTACATTTATCATAGGGTTAACTACCACTATTTGTGGGTAAATATAATATTGCGTAGAAATCATTAAATCGTTTAAACATAACACGACAAACACAAACTTATCAAGGCTATTGCAACTCGATAATAAATCAATACGTGACTGGTTAATATGCATAGAATAGACATTAATATTTTGTTTAGCGTAAAATATAAACAAATTACAAAATATATAAATATAATGTTGATAATAAAACAAATTATATAATATTATAATTGTTATCTTAAATAGGTAACGCATGTACTAAACGCTTAACTATTTTAAGGACCTATATTTGTAGTTAATTTTTTTTTTTTTATTTGATTTTTGAACGTTATTACCGTATTATATTGAAAAACATAATTGTTGTAGTAAATGTTTTAATTATTTCTAATTAACCTTGACTGTATATATAAAAATATTTTTTCTTTAAAAAATAGAGTAGAAAGTTAATAGAACTTTAATTATTTTAAAAATTGAACAAATTTTAATAAAAACTCTAATATTTGAAAATTATAATAATTTTAAAGTTAAATATTAAGTGAATAGAAAAGCTTATATTAACAGTAGGCACGCGAGTGTGACAATGAGATATAATTATATATCCTATACTATACATAGCTAGACATCATACCTACATATACTTTGTATAATTCAAAAGTATAGAACGTATGCCCAAAGTGTATCAATTAACAATTAATCTTTATTCGTAATGTACGGTTTATATACCTATATAATTAAAATAAAATAAATTTAATAAATGTGAAGATAAATTTAAAACATTACTTTGAAATTAACGACTATAATTTCCCTCGCGTATCACACTAATCTATTGACGTAAAATATATCTTATTTATCGTGTAAAAGTTTTAAAGTAATAAATTAATTTTTCATTATTCCGTTTATTTTTGTATCTTATTTATCGGACAGCTTACGTACCTATTATACATAATATGTGTGTACCTTAAATTTTGACAAAAAATAACAATAAACAATTTTATTTTGCTAATCTTAACATTGTAGTACTGTAAAAATATTTGAAATATTATTAAATCAGTGTATTTAATATATTTAAGAATTTCTATTTGTTTATAAATATATGTAGTTTAAAATAAAATAAACCTATAGATTTTATATATTAATATAAAAAATCATCAGCCTCTGTATTGAAAACAATTGACAATTCTACAATATTTTTATATTTTCTTAATAAAATGCTTATTACGCGTTAATCTAACCAGTAGAGGAATATTAGACACAAATATGTTAACAGAGTTTAGAGAACGTAATGACTCACAAGTTATTTACAATTTGATATCAGTTATATAATTTTATTAAAAATTTCGGAGTCTTATTGTTTTGAACCATACCTACTTTTATATGATATGAATCTAATCAAATTTTCTTAACGAATTGTGGGCAACAGCCTATAATTTATATAACAGTACCTACTCCAAAACAAAAAATTATTACCTAAAACTATATTAGTAAAAGAATGTTGTTTTTTTCAAAAATGTTATGCCATATTACGTAAATTTGTATATTATATGTAAAAATAAAAATGATCTGCTTATCTCTCGTTATTTTGTCCTGCTATTTATTTCATAACATAAAAGAAATATATTAATTTTCATATTTTTTTTTCAATTAATTTCTTTTAATAAATGCTTTCTAAATAATGTAAATAAGAAAAATGTTGAAATAAAACATATTGAAACCTTTTAATGAAAATCATTTGAATACAATACTTTAATATCATATATTACTATAGAAATGTGCAAAAATTGTGTTAAATAAATAATTCAAAGATATAAACGTGTACACTAGAAAATGAATTATGAATAATATTATAATATTATTATTGATTAACAGATTTATGTTTTGATTTATAGTAGAATTTCAAAATCATTCCATACAGCTGCTGAGCCATATCTTATTACTACGTACATAGTATAATATATCCAATAAACATTTATTAGTGTTAGATATTTGCCATTAAGTGAAGTAGGTGCACATTATTGAAACACGATATGTAAAAATCGAATATTCGACAACGTACAAATGCACACGCAAAAAATATAATTAAGCGATTACATGATGAGCATTGTCAACAAAATTCGAAACGCATTAAAATTACACGAAAACATAAGCATGGTGGGCTTGAGCATATTAGAAGTATAAGTAATGGAGTGGAATATTATTTTTATATTTATATATATAATAATGTTTAACTGTTACGCGACAAAATAATAGTCATACAGAGTAATGCGTATAGACACACTATATCTTAATATAATATTGTGATAGTACAGTTGCACCCTTATATAACTATTATTAGGTTAGTATACAAGGTATCCAAGTAAGTATATTATATTTTAAAAATGTACCAAGTCAATCTATAATACGCATTAACGTATAATAAACAGTAATATAATGTATTATAATATTATTGTGGTAGATACTTACGTTGACGTTGAGAACGGATGGGATTTTCTTATTGTTGCTCATAATAATAATTATTATTATTATTTAATCGTCCGGTCAATGTCAACGCCCGCGTGTGCAGTGTATATCCGCGCACGCTTATATATATATTATTATTATTATTATTATTATTATTATTATTATTACTATTAGGTATATGTACGTCAGAGAGCGACGCGTAACAGTGAAAAGAGGGCGGACGGTCTGAGATGGAAAAAACACTCAACTGAAAGACAAATAAAAACCGAACAAAAACGTTTTCGACGGGAATCAATCAATTTATCGTCGTTTATTTTTTCACCAATCTACTATAAAAAAAAACAGTTGGTTAGCTGCTAAAGTAAAAATGGTAAATAATAATATAATATTATGTGGTTCGCGACAGTCGATTAACGCACCCGCGGCATACGCATTTGATTGTCGTTTGGTCGGTCCGGCGACGGTAATCTCGGAAGTCCGACCGATGATTCGTGTAAGCGTATATGACGATAATAAATATACACGTACAACGACGATATTCCTCTCCTTGATATTCGTACGCGCGGATATAGCCGTGCCCGTGTGTGCGTGAACGCGCGCGCGCGACGCTGGTGCACACAGGTCCATAAAAATAGACCGATAAATATAAACTTTACGCCTTAGGTATTCGGGGACCACGACGACGTCGGAGAGGAAGATGTGTCCGGCCGCCGCCGAGACGAACACAATTATAATATAATTATATCCACGCAGACTCTGCTGCAGATATGCGTATTATGTAAAGGTATAAGTGACATACCTATATAAAATTTTCGAGTACCTAAATGCTAATGGCTGTGCTATAAAATGGCCCGCTTGAAAGAGTATTGTCAATCGCCAACGTTTTATGGATCAACGAGAAAAATCTATTTATTGTGGAAGCAATCACATTGATATTACATACGAAAATCACTTATATCACTATAAGCCCCGCAGGGAAAATATAGAATATCGCAATGATGATAGTTATGCAATCAGAAGAATCGCCATAAAAATAAATGAAAAACAGTACACACGATCGAACAGTATAACAGATCCAGGTTGGCCTAAGGGTCCAAGCCCCCTTGCAGACATATTATTTCTCAAATTTTTTTTCATAATATACTTGAATATACTTAAAGTAAGTAAAAGATTTTCTCCTGAGCTATCATCAGAATCAGATAATACAGTTAACTTACACTTGCAAAGTATTTTTTTTACTAATTATTTAATTTGTTAAAATATTTTTATTACATTTATAATCGATTAAAATATTCTAATTATTTCACGTAAAATTGAGCTTTGGTTTAATTTTTGAATAAAAATATAAATGTATGGAGTGAAAATTAATTTCCATCAACAACAATAGATGCTTTAGATAAATGTGATTCAAATATATTTTCTACAGTATAACAGCTTCTAAGTATAATTTGTACGTTACCGATGAGTGTAGCTACTACAGAACAAAGTTTCTCTAACCTAAGATGGGTAAAAATCTGGCTATACTTTAAAATTCGGCAGGATCACCTTACTTCGTTATATTTACTAAGTTTTCATAGGGAAGTTGAAATAAACATTGATCTAATAATTGACAAATTTGGAAAAAGCGAAAATGTAAAGAGATGTTTAGATTTTATTATTTTATTTATAAATATTATATTAAATAATCATTAATTTATTACACTGATTACCTATACTTAATTATACTTCTACAAAAATTTTAAATTATATGAATAAAGTACCTATAAAAAAATGTTTGCCCCCCCCCCCAGATCTTTGCTCTGAATCCATGCCTGAATAAAGTGTTATAGGAAACTTAAATGTTTAATTTAGCGAAATAAAATTGTAAGCTATTTAAACATAATTACGATAAATATAAGCTTAATATCTTATGATATGTTCGGGGATCTGTCCATGTTGAAAAGGCAAACATGCTCAGGCATCACAGCCACCACCTATGTCTTAGATGAACATTGCATTACTGCAATTATCGTTATATTATGCACGTATAGACGCATCAAATGTATGCGTTTAATATTATATTTTAATATAGATATTTGCACGAAATGTGGATTTACTCGTATTTTTCTTTTCAAAACATCTACTCTACATGTGAGCTCAGGACCATATTAACCATTAAACACTGTAAGCACTGTACCTAGGGCTTACAAAAAGATTGCTAAATCTAAAAAAACATTGATAAGATCTTTCGCTTCATTCAAAATCTAAAAACAGTCTATTATAAATTATAATGTAAAATGTATAATACAATTTTTTATAAAAGCGCTATATTTTTATACAACGTGCTGCATAATATTATATCATGCGATATGGAAATTATTATTATTTTAGATACTAGATATTTTAATCTAATAATTGTAACAAATTATACATTTATAAACAATTAGTTATTACGAGAAAATAATAATTTATATGGTACATAATATGCAAAGTTAAAAAAAGTATACAAAAAATAGTATTTAAAAGTGCCTATGTTATAAAATACAATTTTTTCCAAAGCCTAGGGTCTATGGATTATTTAATCCGGCCCTGTGTGAACGAGTGGACAAGCTGAACGATAAACGACAAAGTGGGGTCGAATAGTATGTCATAAAAATAAGGTTATTAAATACATAATAGGGACCTATAATAATAATAGGGATTTACCCATAGCTGTAATCAATACAACAAATTATGTTTTCGTTTTCGCTATATACTGTTATAACTTATAAGTTAAAGTAATGATTATTAATCAAGTTTATACCGCCACTGCATTCCCTGCTGCAATGCTGCAGATAATTAAATTATTTTCCACAGGATGAACAAATTTCGGATAAATTTATTTTGATTTTCTATACATGGTCTAAGGTCTAAGAACTCTGTAAAATTGAATTTTTGTAGTTTGTATATTTCACGTGAAGACAATTTTTTCGACATATCGAGAGTTCATTTTATCATAAATTTGAAAATTATATTTAATTTTATAGATAAAAAAAATATCCCATCAGAGAATAATATAAATGTACAAAATCATAATATATGATATAAGATACTAAAATGAGTAATAACATATTGGAAATTGGTCATTAAGAGTTTAAAGCATTACTTAAAACTTAAAACGTGTCATTGAAAAACAATTCATTAAAATTTAAAATTTAGCAACTTGCAGTTCAAGAATAGTCTCACGACTAATTTGATATTCAAAGTTCAGACCTCAACTTATTTGTTATTATAATTACAATTAGTAGATACGTACATATTTCCCACCCATATCGTTCACCGTTTAGTAGTTACATCGTACACATAGTCTATGGATCATCGTCGTCAAATCTACTTTTGCATCGTTTTCACATCGATCTGATCTCCTAGTATAAATATAAATAATTTTGAGTCTGTATGCGTACATACACATGTATGTGGTTCGTCTCACGTCGTCTACACATTTCGTTTTTATCATATTTCTTTGAATAAAAAAACATATTATTTCCGACCCTCGCCATATTGTCTATTTTATTGTTCGCATTGTCGCCACCTGCAACGATTCTTTTTTCCATACATCGTCTTCTGACGTGTATTTTGTTTGGTGTGTTGTCATGTAACTGGACGATTTTTGTATAGCTTTCCCCTAAATATTTGACATTAATACCCTCTAATTTTTATTTATACCTATTATACTTAGTATATAGTATATCTATTGATAAACTTAGTTTATAAACGGATAAAAAGATTAATGATATTTTCGAGACTTTAATTTTAAATTGATGTAGTAAGGAAGAATTAAATAAATATGAACACAACTACAAAAAGAAGCCATTTTAAATTTTATAATCATTTATTCGACTTTTTTTTTATTAAAAATTAACAAATTTTACTAATACTAACATTAATTTAATTATAATGTTAAAATGTTATTGGCTTATTGTATTAAAACTTTTTTAACTAGGTCTCAAAAAATAAAAAATAATGCCAGATATAACCATATTTTCTCAATAAAAACTGATATACAATAAAGATTATCGCGATTACTCGATCGTGAATGTAAAAATAACCATATACATATATACTTTGTGGAACTGCAATAGTCGAATTTTCCAAAACCACCATTCATAAAAAAATCCTTTGGACAAACGTCGATAATAAAATACTCGTGAGTGAATAGATTATCATTCAGAGAACAGAAAATCAACTTTAATTGACTATTGTAAGACGTATCATTATTCATTATACATTAAATATGACAACATAACACACACAATTACAAATATTTACTATGAATTAGGGATTTATTTCAATTATTTATTATTCTTCTCTTATATTTTAATTTAACTGGTCCACATGTGATCAGCTTTGTTATTATATACATATTATAGTTAGATGTCATAAATTAATTAAAATCTTAAGACAATAATGAACAAAAAATTGTTAATTTCATTATTATAAGTTATTATTTAATATTATTTAAAATATAATTATTAATAAATGTTTAAATAAATGTTTACCTACATACATACAGCTAATTTCCATACAGTGGCTAATATAGATGTTCTATATCTAACTAAATAAGATAATTAATAAAACTCAAAATATATAATAGTAAGTATTACATAATGTTGTAAATTTAAAAAAAATAGAATTCAGTTGTGGATAAAGTTATATACAATAACATATTATTATAAATTATAATAATCAATAAAACAATATGAAAGCTTATACGACCTACATAAAACATATTTATACATCTGTTTTTATGTACATATAAAAATTTATTTATACTATGAATTCAATTTAAACCCAGGCATATAATATTTATATTTCTAAGATATATTCTGCAGTGGTTTATTATCAACCGTTGAATTCTAATTTTTTTTTCTTAGTTTTATCAAGATTTATCCTTAAATCAAAAGAGAGGTTAATATAAATAGCAGTTTTAAACTTCTTCAAAATATAATTTTCACGCTCTATTGTGATTATTTCGCACGGTTGTGTAGAAATATACAGACTTGAGAGTTGAGACTTTGAGAAAAACAATTGGCACAAGTAGAATGTAAAAAACTCAAATGATAAAGGTATGACGTTCTACGTTCTACCTAACGTAATTAAAAGATAAATCCTTCAATTTACATGTACAAATGAATGCCATTTTGATTGGAACGGAATTTTTTGACAGAGAGAGAGACCATAATAGAAATTAATCCATTCTTCCGTACATATTATACTTAGGTATATAGCACTGCAGTCATATCGACGTTGTTCAATCTTTCGGAAAAGTGAACGTTTAATAATAACGTATTTGTAGCCCGTCTTGTATAAGTATGGGTCACATGTATATTATAATAATATATTATACATGGTATTTATGTAAATCTATATCTCATACATGATAATAAGTGTGGACCATATACTATATATGTATATATTATTATTCTATATATACGTATTGTTATAATATAGTGAAATGACAAATATATTGATACATTTTATGTG